TCATCAGAGAGAGAGACAACTGGTGGTGGTTAACAAGGTGAGTCCTTCATGGTAACCTCAAACAGTGCAGGAATTGAACCCAAGCTGTTGGCGTCACTCTGCATTGCAAACCAGCCATGAAACCAACTAACTGACGACCATGCAATGGAATACTGCCGACCACACCTGGATTAATACAACTCCAAAACAATCAAGGAGCTAAACTCTGTCCAGGTTAGATTCATGGAAGTGGTTCCCCTGAATAAGGAATTCCAATGACATAAAAGGATTGCAGACTGATTACAGAAGTTGGAACGATACTCTTTATGGATGATAGTATAAGGTAGGGGTAGAGGTTAGATAGACCTTAGGATTAGGGTAAAAGTTCGGCACAACATTGTGAGCCGTAGGGCCTGTACTGTTCTATGCTCTATGTTCTTTGGAGAATAGAAGGTGGAGAGGACAGCTGTTGGAGCTGTTCAAAATCATGAAGATTCTGGACAGTGTAGGCATGAAGAAACCATCCTCGTTTGTGGAAAGATTGAGAACCAGAGGACAAAGACTTAAGGTAATTGTTTAAAAAAAAAGCAATGAAGACATTCGAAGAAACTTCTGCATTGCAACTGGTTAAGATCTAGAATGCATTGCCCGAGTGGTGGAAGCAGGTTTAATTAAGGCATTCAAGTGGGAATTAAATTATTATCGAAAAATTTGCATAAGACTAGTCAAATCCCATTTTCAAGCACTTTACCCACAGCCTTGTCTGTCTTGGCATTGCAATCTTCAAATAAAGTGCATAGATTATTTCAATTTCACCAATCCCCGGAGTTGGGGCTAGAGTGAGAGTAGTGGCCATCACTAAGGAGAAGATGCTGGGGAAGCTGAAAGGTCTGAAGGTGGAAAGATCACCCAGATTGGTTGGACTACATCCAAATCTTCTGAAGGAGACAGCTGAGGAGATTGTGGAGGCATTGGTGATGATCTTTCAGGAATCAAATGGAGTCAGGGAGGGTCCAAGAGGACTGGAAAATAGCTAATGCAACACTTCTGTTAAAAAAGGGAGGGAGCCAAAGGACAGGAAATTATAGTTTGGATAGCCTAACCTCACTCATTGGAAAGATTCGAGATCATTAAGGATGAGATTGCAGAGTACTTGGAAGTGCATGGTTAAAACGGAGCTGAGTCAGCATGTTCTGAGGAAGGGTCACCAGACCTGAAACGTTAACTCTGTTTTCTCCTCCACAGATGCTGCCACACCTGCTGAGCTTTTCCAGCAACTTTGGTTTTGTTCCTGAGTCAGCATGGCTTTGCCAAGGGGAGATCATGCCTGACAAAGTCTGTTAGAATTCTTTGTGGAGTTAACAAGCAACTTAGACAAAGGAGAGCCAGTGAATGTGATCTCTTTGGATTTCCGCAAGGCCTTTGACAAGGTACCACACAGGAGGCTGCTAAATAAGAGTCCATGGTGTTAGGGCAAGATACTGGCATGGAAAGAGGACTGGCAGAAGGTAGAGGGCAGGGATAAAAGAGTGTTTTGCAGATGGCAGTCGGTGACTAGTGGAGGGGTCAGCGTCGGAACCACAATTACAGTCAGTTCTGCTATAATGCCATTGATGCGCAGGAATGCAACTTTGAGTTATAGAAAACTGCGCTGTAGAAATAACAGGGCCTATGGGAAAAGCAGGGTTAGGGGCAGACAACCAAAAAACCTCAAAAGCCTACACAAAGGACAACACAGTTTGAATAAATGTTTAATTCATACCTTATAATGAAATAAAAGTAAATTTAACACCTTCCCTTGAAAAACTGTCATGACAACTTATTGGGGGAGGAGGTTTTAAGGTTGCTCTGTTTTTAATGCAGGGGCTGAGGGTCGTCATCATCACCACCACCTTCAGGTACAGTTGCGGATGCAAGGTAAGGGCGAAAAATAGTTAAATCAGAAGTGGATGGCTGTGGTTCATTGTCTTCTGACTATTTCCAGGGTTGTCTTAAAAAAATACATCCAAGTTTTTGCTGCTTTGCCCTTTTTCTTCTTTCTTGAAGTTGTTGTTCCTAGGGTGCCAAATAAGATCTTATTCCATGAACTGCTACCCTGCTGTGTTCTGTATTGTAATCATTGTCCTCCAAGAGCTGCAACTGCTTCTCAATTTCCCTCAGGATAGAAGGAAAAAACAGAAGTGGAAAGCTCTCGTGGTGCTGCATCCTGGACTTCATCTTCACCTCTAGCTCCCGCTTCCCCCTCAGCGACAAGTTGTTGTAGATCAGCTGTAGAGAGGGGTCTTCACAGTGGGATTCAAGCAGCTCTTCAACATTCTCACTCTTCACTTCTTCAAATCCTACTTGCTTTGCTCGGTCAACACAATGTTCTTTGATTCTTGGGAGCTCCTCTAACAGATCAGAGCCTCTAAAAGCTTGAAAAAAATCTGGAAAAAGCTTCCGCTAAACTCCACAGAAGCAGTCCTTACTGACATCACCCTAGGCCTCCATGATAAATGTCTATTGCATTCTTGATGTTAAAGCTCTTCCAAACTTGAAGAACACGGTCCTTATCCCCGTCAGTGACTGCAATCAGCTTCTTAAATGTGTGCCTTAAATAATAAGCTTTAAAAGCAGCTATTGCACCCTGGTCCATGGGTTGAAGGAGAGAGGTCGTATTTGGGGGTAAAAGTAGCTCTTTGTTTTCAGAAAGTTCACCAGTGGTGGGAGGATGGCTTGGTGCATTATCCAGGATGAGGAGAATCTTGAACTCCGTGCAACAATGGAATCATGTTATAGCCAACAGTAGTTCACGTTTTAGAAATAGTGTTTCCTTATTCGGCAGTTATGTTATAGCCAATTTGCATTGCTTGAACACCTGTTGTAGCAGAACCGACTGTACTCACATTATTCATTAATGATCTGGACGAAGGAACTGAGGGCATTATTGCTAAGTTTATAGATGACACAAAGATAGCTGGAGGGACATATAATGTTGAGGTGGTGAAAGGCTGCAGAAGGACGTGGACAGGCTAGGAGATTAGGCAAAGCAGTGGCAGATGGAATACGACGTGAGAATGTAGGACGTTATGCACTTTGGTAGGAAAAATGGAGATGTAGACTATTTTTTAAATGTGGAAGCACTTTGGAAATCTGAAACACCAAAGGTCATGGGAGTCCTAGTTCAGAATTCTCTTAAGGTTAACATGCAGGTTCAGTTGGCAGTTAGGAAGGCAAATACAACATTAGCATTCATTTCAAGAGGGCTAGAATACAAGAGCAGAGACATATTGCTGAGGCCAAATAAAACACTGGTCAGACCGCATTTGGAATATTGTGAAAAGTTCTGGGCCCCGTATCTAAGAATGGATGTGCTGGCCTTGAAGGGGGTTCAAAGAAGATTTACAAGAATCATCCTGGGAAAAAGAGGTTGGCCGTATGAGGAGTGGTCGAGGACTGTGTGTGTGTACTTGTTGGATTTAGAAGGATGAGGGGACATTTCATTGAACTTTACAGGACATTGAGAGACCAAGACAGAGTGGATATGGAGAAGATGTTTCCATTTGTAGGAGTGACTAGGACCTGAGGGCACCGCTTCAGAGTGATGTTCCTTTGGAACTGAAATGAGGAGGAATTTCTTCAGCCAGAGGGTGCTGAGTTTGTTGAGCTCTTTGCAATAGAAAGCCATGGAGGTCAAGTCATTAAGTGTATTTATGACGGAGATAGATAGGGGATCAAAGGTTCCAGGGAGAAGGTAGGCGGGTTGGGTTGAGAAACATATCAGCCATAATCGAATAGTGGAGCAGACTTGATGGGCTGAACGGCCTAATTCGGCTTCTATACGTTTTGTTCTTATGGTGACTGATTCATTTATGTCTAAGAGAAGAATGTAACAGATGGGACTGTTCAATACTGTACAGACCAAAGCATTTGATTGGCACCTCATCCAACACGTTAAATGTTTATTTTTCGATCCTCGGCATGGCAGCAGCATGCATCATTTACAAGATGGCACTGCAGCAACACCTCAAGGTTCCTTCATCAGCAACTTGCAAATCTGCAATCTCAGCACATAGAAGGACAAGAGTAGAAGTGCATAGGAACACCGCCAAATACACGTTCCACTGCAATGCACTCCTGTCCTAACATGAAAACATAGGATGGAATATTCACTGGCCTTACAAATTACACTCACATCCATAAATAAACTAAAACATCCTCACACTTCATTGCTGATCTGAGTTAAGTGTACACAATGAGCTGGATCCAGAGGTCTTCTTATTTCGTGAGGGAATGGATTTTCTTTCTACTGCTGAAGTGTGATTAACAAGGCCAGATTGAGACCGGGGCAGATCATACACTTCAGAATGTCATGTAATGACAAAAGCACTCACGGTTCTCCAGTGGGTGTCTAATTAGTCTTGAAATTAAGCACAGTAGCCACATATGTAAAAATAAAATTAATTGCCAGTAAATTGCGTAAGGGAATTCTACAATAACTTCAGCATAAGGAATTAAGTGTCTGTCTCAGTTAAAATTTTGTGCTGTCCTATATTAATACAAGTTGAGAAGCCAATTACTTAAATAACACTGAAGATAAAACTCTCTCAACTGGGCAATTTAATTAACAATTCATTCACATGTTTCCTAATCTCTACATTGTCCTACAGCTTTACAGCTGGAATTTTATTTATACAGAGTAAATTGGGTTGCTGTCCACACAATTGGACAGGGTTGCTCGAAAATGGAGCCTGGGAGCTTAATTTGCTCCACATTTCCTACAACAGTTGGGACTTGAGGTCACCCCAGTTGCATTTCTTCACTAATCTGTAGAAATCATCAATGAAATTATCAATAGCTTCCCGGGAGGCAGAATTCTCCTCTTAAATCTTGCTCTTTCAAGAATTTTAATAATCCTGAGATTGACAAAGTCTTCCAGCAATTCTTCAAAAATGATCTGTGGAATAATCTTGAACTGACGTTCATGTTTGTCAACAATATTTCACCCTCATTTTGCCAGTGAATAAGGAGAAAGCAATTACCTTAGCATGATGCAAGTCAACTCCATACATGGAAAGCATCTTGGCATTTTCCAGAAATTGAGCATCAGCCTGGGCTGGAGTTAAACCCCTGATAGAGAAACAAGGAAGTTAAATGTATAATCATAACGGCACAAGGTTATGTAATCAATTCGAAATTTAAATTATGAAGGCTAATGAAAAAGCTCAGACTGTTTCTAAAATTATTGGCAGTATTTTTAAAAAATACCAATTAAGTCGATCACTTTACTTGAGGAGTTAGTATTTGGACTGGTACAACATGTCATTGGCCTCTTTCTGCACTATGATTATGATTTGGGTAATTTAAGATGCCTAGATTCAATATTGAGAAACGTATATTTTTAACAACTTTGAAGAGGAAACAGAGTTATACATAAAATGGCAGGTAACAGTTAGGAAACATAGTTTGTGAATGGGAACAGGAGACAGATCAAGAGGTTGTGGACATTGGGTCAATTAAAAATATGAAATGCAGATTTACTTCTTTTGTTCAGGTTAACGTACCAAAGAATATAGAAAAACAAATGGAAAATTGAATTAAATTATAGATTAGTCTTGATCTAATTTAAAGAAAGAAAAGCTTTGAGGGTCTCAATGGCCTATTCCTGTATCACAATTATGGAAAGTTGCAGGTGTGTTCCTCAATGATAATAATTGTGAAACTGTCAGCATTTGTTACTCTTAAAACTTTGAAACAAACAGCAACATCTGGAGTTTGCAAAAGCACAGTTAAACGTGCAAATCTAAAAGTGCTGTCTATGATTCCACCATACTATTTGCTTCTCCATGGGGTGTGCTGTTGAAATACCTGCTAGATTTTAATCAGGTATTACGTTTTTACTTTGCGAATAATAATGAGTGGGAACTAGCTTCTGACAACAGTGGTGGCACCAGAAACATTGATTTCAAAAGGAAATCAGATGGATGCTCGAGTGAAATAAACTTGGTTATTGGCAGTCCCTCACAGACAGTGATAACTCTCTTCCACCGTCAGGGTGAGTCCATAAATGGTTGTACAGACTGATGTGACTTCTGCAGGCTCTGTAAACGTGGGACAGAAGATGGTTGCAGGAAGGGATGGGTGGGGTGTTGGTGTGGCACTGCGCTCCTTTCACTGTTTACATCTGGCTTCCGCTTTTTCCTGAAGGCATGTCTCGAGGCACTTGATGCCTTCCCGGATGCTCCTCCTCCACTTTGGATGCCCTTGGGTCAGTGATTCCCAGGTGTCTTTGGGAATGCCGCACTTTGCCATTGAGGCTTTCAGGGTGTGACTGAAGCAATTCCTCTGACCACCTGGGGATTGCCTGCCATTTCAAAGCTGAAAGTAGAGCATCTGCTTTTCAGTCTTGTGTCGGTCATGCAGACGATGTGCCCAGCCCATAGTAGCCAATCAAGGGTGGTCAGTACCCCGCTGCTGGGGCTGTTGGCTTGGTCGAGGACACTGGCGTTGGTGCATCTTTCTTCACAGTGGATTCAAAGGATCACGCCCAGGCAGCAGGTACAGCTTCAAGGCCTTGATGTGTCGCTATAGACAGTCCATGTCTCACAGCCATATAGGAGGGCGGGAACGGCCAGAGCTCTATAAATCATGACCATGGTGTTGGATCTGATGTTGTTGTCCTCGAACACCCTTTTCATCAGGTAGCTGAAGGCTGCACTAGCATACTGGAGTCAATGCTTGATCTCTTCATCAATAGCTCCTGAGGTACTAGAAGTGGTCAACGTTCTCTAAGGCCTGTGCCTTAATTCTAATTCTCTAATAAACTTGTGGAGCAATTGGAGAGACAGCATTGAAATGAGACTGACTGGAATTCTCTATACAAAGCTGACATGAACTAGATAGGCCAAGTGGCCTCACTCTGGCCTCATACTATAATAAGTCTATGTCTCAATAACTCAATTCATAAATATTGAATTGCTTCATGGGTCCTGAAAAGTTTATTTTATATTTGTGAAATGTCAAATTTCTTCAGTAAGGCAAAGAAATACCTATTTTAAAAATTTATCTTTTTGAAAGCTGTTTTGGACATTTTTCTTTCTACTTTTTGTCCCTTGTCCACAATCATTTATTTCACTCTTTGTAGAATTTTAATTAAAAATGAAAATTTTTGTTCCTTTAACTTGGCTGCCAAAGCTCTTAATAAAAGCTCTAACGATTCCGTGTTTGAATCGCTTCAAGGACTAGATTAATCCCATGACTGTAATTTGTCAGCTTCAAAGAAGGTCATGCCTGCCAAACCTGTTAGAATTCTTTGAGCAGGTAACGTGCAAGTTCGACAAAGGATAGCCATTTGAAGGGATTTATTTGAATTTCCAGAAGGCCTTTGACATGGTGCCACACTGGAGGCTGCTAAATAAGATAACAGCCCATGGTGTTAGGGACACGGTACTGGCATGAGTAGAGGATTAGTTGACTGGCAGAAGGCAGAAAGTGGGGATGAATGGGTCTTTTTCAGGATGGCAGCCAGTGACTAGTGGAGTTCTGCAGCAGAGTGTGTTGGGACAACTGCACTAATGATTTGGACGAAGGAACTGACGGCATTGTTGCAAAGTTTGTAGATGACACAAAGATAGGTGGAGGGACAGGAAGTGTTGAGGAAGTGGGAAGGCTGCAGAAGGACTTGGACAGGCCAGGAGAGTGGGCAAAAAAGTGGCGGATGGAATGCAACGTGGGAATGTATGTTATGCACTTTGTTAGGTAGAGGAGTAGACTATTTTCTAAATGGGGAAAGGCCAGAAAGGCTTCGGAAATCTGAAGTTCAAAGGGATTTAAGAGTCCTAGTTCAGAATTCTCTCAAGATTAACATGCAGGTTCAGTTGGCAGTTGGGAAGGAAAATGCAGTGTTAGCATTCATTTTGAAAGGGCTGGAATACAAGAGCAGAGATGCACTGGTCACACTGCATTTGGAATATTGAAACTAATTTTGGGCCCCATATCCAAGGATGGATGTGCTGGATTTGGAGGGGGTCCAGTGTACATTTACAAGAATGATCCTGGGGATGAAGGACATCATATCAGGAGCTGTTGAGGATACTAGTTCTGTAATCAATGGAGTTTAGAAGGATGAGTGAAGATCTCATTGAAACTTACGAAATACTGAAGAGACCTGGGTAGAGTAGACATAGAGAAGATGCTTCTGCTAGTTGGAGAGACTAGGACTCGAGGGCACAGCCTCAGAGTGAAGGGACGACCCTTTAGAATTGAGATTAGGAGGAATTTCTTCAGCCAGCAGGTGATGAATCTAATGGCCTATTCCTGTATGTTGTAATTATGGAAAGGTGCAGGTGTACATTTCAGTGGTAATAGCTGTGAAACTGTCAACATTTGTTACTATTATAACTTTGAAACAGACCGTAACATCTAAACTTTGCAAATGTACAGTTAAATGTGCAAATCCAAAAAAGTGAAACGTGGCTATGATCGAATGGCAGAGTAGAGTTGATGCACCAAATGGCCCAAATCTGCTGCTATATCTTATAGACGTCTATTTTATGGCACCTTCTGGATTGCAATCAAGTATCATGTTTTTACACTAAGTAACAATGAGCCGGAACTAGTTTCTGAGGACGGTGTGGTCACCAGAACTCCTTGCTGCAGAAGGCTGTGGAGGCCAAGTCAATGAGAATAGTTAAGAAACAGATAGATAGGTTCTTGATTACTAAGGGAATCAAGGGTCATGGGAAGGAGGCGGTAGAATGGGGTTGAGAAACATCGCCATGATCAAATGGCAGAGTATACTTGAAGGGCTGAATGGCCCAATTTTGCTCTTAGATCTTATAGTTTTCTACTGTACTACAAATTACCCATACTGAACCCCATCCCTCTGACTCCTCTTTTACAAACTGCAATTCTTTAGATGTACCTTTGGGTCCCTTACTACTTAGAATGCCTTTTCATAATTTTATTTATGTATATTTATATACATACAAGAGAAAAATAAAAGAGCCATCAGATTTAATCCCACCTTTCAGCTCCGAGTCCATAGACCCATAGGTTATGTCACCTGAAGTTATTGAAGACTGATTTGATATCACAGCCAAACCTAACAAAACATTTTCAAAATATCAAACAGTGCAAAACATTTTAATTTTGATCAAAGGTTGTGGATGTTGTCGGTAAAGCTAGCATTAATTATCAAATGCCAATTGGGATTAGGTCTTAAATGGCTCATCTGGATAAGGTAACAAACAGCCAAACCATATAAACTAAGTTACATTGCTGGTGGTGATAATGGATAAGGTGCTAGGACTGGCTTCAGTACATGGTTTAGGGAGGCAAAATATAGTCATTCAGGATTTCTCTCTTATAAAGGTATCACTTAAGGATAGACCACTCCTGTGGTTGGAAAGGTTGCAAACACTCACTTTCCAATTCTCAATGAATACCAATGCTTGCGATACACAACCCGGCTTCTATGAAATGGCAACTTTGCAACATGGAATGCAGTAGGAAAAACTTAATCTGCACTCTTCAAATTAGGAGTTATGTAGGATAGGATCATAAATATTTTCCAACAGATTTAATGAATAGCAAATTCAAATGTTTCTTCACGAAGTCATCCACAACTTTCTGCGAGCAACACAGCCACAGGAATCATCCAGGCAATACAACATGACAGCAGGCAATGACACCATACAAGATGCCCATTTTTTAAAAGAAATAATATTCTAAAGAAGCATTGCATATTTTCTTCAGACTCTGGTGGGACTACAAAAATATCCCATTGGAACAGAGGCTGCATGGATAAGGAAAATTATCAACAGTATTATGTTTTAAAGTTCACAAATGAAATTTGTTCAAAAGTATTGAAAAATTTAAAGTCATGTAGGATTCTGGTCAGACAACACAGCGCATTGTCCTGTCTCCATAATGTAACATCAATATAAAAGTACCAGAAAAAGTTCATATGATTTTATACAGATAGTTCCAGAATTGAGAGATAACTGTTATTGAAAAATTTGAACAGGACAGGGTTTTATTTTCCTGTAGGAATAAGATGCTGAGGTGGTAAGAGTGAAATCTTTAAAATTATGAATGGATTGAACAGAAGGATTGTGGAATGTTTCCAAAACAGAGGATCCAAAACAAAGGACTATGAATATCAAATTACTTTTTGATTGGAGCAGTACTTACAAAGTTCTTTATTTGTAGTTTCAAATGTGGATCTCACTACCACTGAAACAGTTAGGCAAATAACTTAAGATGGTTTTGAAAAGAAAATAGAGGGGCATGTTAAAGAAAAAAAAACAATGAGATGGTAATGTGAAAGGTTCAGATGAATTAGATTGAAGATAAGGAGACTCATGTAGCATATAAACACATAGCTAGTCTGATTATCTAATGTTTATGTTGTGTATTGATTGTAATTCTACGTAAAATCTGAAAAATCATCAAAAAGGAAACATGAGATGTTTAAACATTCCATCTTGTGGTACTCCTGCTCACTTACAAAAAACTGTTATGCACCGTCTGAGAAATGCTGTATAAAATTTGCATTTGCCTCAGGGCTTGTACTCCGAGTTGAGTCAGAAAACTGTGGTCGAAACTCCCAAACCAGTCCTCTTTGGAACATAGAAGCAATGCTCCCTCTAAGTTGCGCACACCAATCATGGCAATGACTTCCCGGCTAGGAAGTAGCTGCCGTGCACTATGTTTGGAGGCCTGCCCAGCCAGCGAGAAAATTAGATAGAACACTGCATTGAAGCAGGAATTCAGCCATTCAGCCTCTCAAGTCTGTTCTGCTATGCCAGATCTTTGCTAATCATCTATTTGATGTCAAATTCCTACGCTATCCACATAATCCTTGATGTCACTAGTAACAGGAAATTAATAATTTTTCTCTTGATCTTACTTTATGATTAAGCTCCCACAGCCTCTAGGTACAGATTTCCAAAAATTCACCATGCTGAGTGACAAAGTTCCTCCTCGGTATTTCAACAGTATTCCTCTTATTCCACGACAATGTACCATGGTTCTAGAACTCACAGACAGGAGAAACATTCTTTCTGCATCTACACTGTCTATTCCTTGAAGAATTTTCTACGTTTCCATGAGATCGCCACTCATCCTTCTAAACTCAAGATAATACAGGCCCAGTCTCCTTGAGGTCTTCTGATAGAACAATCCCACCATCCCAGGAATTGTTTTGGTGAACTTCTGCTGCACTGGCAATTGCATCCTCCCTTTTGCAAGGGGATTAGAACTGCATACAGTATACCTGGCACATTCTACACAATTCAAGCAAAATACCTTTGCTCTTATACTTAAAACCTCTAGCTTAAGACCATTTGCCTTGCAAATTACTTGCTTCACTTGCGTGCTGGCTTTCTGACTTATGAACACCGAAGTCCCTTTCGACATTTACCGATCTTGCAACATTTCAGAAATGCCCTGCCCTTTTGTTCCTCTTACCAAACTGGATAAACTCACACTTAAGCCACATTATATTCCATCTGCAATGCTCTTGCTCACTTGCTCAAACTGTCTAAATCCCCTTGACGCCTCTTTGTATCTGCCTCATAACTCAAGTTCTGTATCACCGGCAAACTTGAGAAACGTTACTATTGACTCCCACTGATAAAAGTTTGTGAACAGTTGGGGCCCAAGCACTGACCCTTGTAGCACTCCACTTGTCACAGTCTGCTAACAAGAGACTATCCCATCTGTTCTTATGCTCTGTTTTTTGCCCATTAGCCAATCTTCAAATCATGCTCAGATCTTACCTGTCTTCCAATACACTTTTACTTTGTTTACTAACCTTGTGAGCTGATCTTTATCAAAAGTTTTCCTAAATCTAGGCTAATTTGTTATGTATTGAAAGAATAGTCAGAAAGGCTACCTATCAGATGAAGGAATCAACAAAGTCTGCCTTTACAGGTGGATGCATAAACCATTATGAAAATCATTCCAAACAGCAGAGACACCTGGCATTCCAGCCAGTCATTTAGTTTGTCTCCAGCACCTCCCTGTTCTTAATTTTTTGTAATTATCTCCCTGCCTCATTTAATCGGATTATAGGTCATCCCTTCGCTGGTTATTGACACTTCACTCACCATCTACCACTCCTGGGTCACCTGCAACAGACTTATCATCTGACACTCCACTCACACCAGTTGTATGATCTTTTGATCTCTCTGCCCTTGACCTCTCTGCCTATAAACTCTGGGTCTGCGTGCTCTGCTCTCTCACTGCACCTGATAAAGCGGCTGTGCTCCGAAGGCTTGTGAGATTCCAAATAACCCTGTTGGACTATGACCTGGTGTCGTGTGACTTCTGACTTTGTCTACCCCAGTCCAACCCCAGCACATCATTCCAGCCACAAGACTGCAAAGCTCAAAAACAAAAGAAAAAGACCTTAAGTGGTCAATCATCCTGAGGGGAATTTTGTAGAAGGTACTATGACTACAGAACAGAGTTTGAAAATAAGGAGATTTCCATTTAAGATGGAAATGAACATCTCTTTGGAACTGTCCTACCCAGAGTGCAGCAAAGGCAGAGTCAATGAATACTTTTAAGACAGAGGTAGACTCCTGACTAACAAGGGAACCAAAGGATACTAGCTGCAACTGGGAATGATAAGTTGAGGCTGCAATCAGATCAGCCATGATCACATTGAATGGCACAGCAGGCGGAACAGATCAAATTGTCTACTCCTGCTCCTAATTTTAATGTTTCTATGCTCAGTTTTATGTGGTTTGTGGGACCTGGCTCTGTACCAAATGGCTGCAATATTTCACTTCTCAATAATCTAAAACCAAATTAAATCTCAACAACTAAACTGGAGCATTTTAACAGTTAATTTATTCAACAGTGCTATTAGATTTTAAGTACAGTACTATTCAAAAAGACCAGAAAATCATATACTTTAATCAAGTAGTCTACCTTCATTTCCATGTTACAGTGCCAATTCCCTACAAGTGTCTAATTTGTTAACAAGATCTGATAAATAGATGCACATGAGAGATGAAGAAGAAATAACATTAAACTTCTACCTGTGAGTTTTATGCAGTTCACAGATTTTCTCTTCCAATTCCTTTGTCTGGCATGGTGCAAACTGTAATTCTGAGACATAGCCGGTTTTATGTTCATCTGCATCATAGTCCCCAAGTTCCGCTTGCAATGTGCAAGAACCCAGAAGGGCATGAGTGACGAAAGAACATGGCAAACGACCACTTACGATATCTTGACGGAGTTGAAGGCATAAGTAATATCTGCAGTAAGTTGGAGAGAAGATAGTGAATTTAGAGGACAAAATAACTACCCTCTTTAGTACAATATAAACTAGTTCTCACCCTACTCATTTAATTACTGTGCCTCTGTAAATATAAATAATAACTTAAATGAATTATTTAGTTATTCTAATAACTGATCAGATTAAGACTTCAGCTGAGGCATCATGATACTGAACCAAACTAGTACAGCAATAAAAATAAACTATTCAGACCAGCTTCTAAAGCAAAATTAAGTGAGTCTTATTTTCAAGGATTTCAAATCTGCCATTCCGCAAGAAGATCTAACCAGTGAATGCTTAGATGCTTGGTATGTTGGACATCACAAATAGCCAAACACATGTTTCTCATCTGAACTATTTTCATTAAAAATGGTCAGTAAAATTACACAATGCTACTTATTTAAACAAATCAAAGTTTACACACATTATCTCCTGTCAATTCTTGGCTTTGTCACCGATTTATTGCTGAAAAATCGCATTTTGTTATAGCTGTTCATTTTGCATTCGTTACGACAATTCACAAGAAACATCAAAGTAAAGAGAAAACAACATTTATATTGGGTGAGAAGAGAATGCTGATTGTTTGGCAAGCAGACTTTGATTGCTAAAAGTATTGCCATAGAAAATGCACCAGTTAACGTCGGCTGACAGTTAACGTCATTAAAATTTTAAACATGGCAGATTGGCACTGATTGGACAAGTCAATCAGTGCCCTGAGAAATGAACCAGAAAATGACAGTCATCTATTTTGTTGAAGTGAAACAGGCAGTCTGTGTCCATGCTTTTTCTATCTATAGCCCTGCGTTTTAATACGCATAGCTTCCAGTAAACACACGTGTGCCATACTGAGCGCCTTGGGACCACCTCGGAATCCCAGTTTGAAAACCTATGACTTCTATTACTTAGGAAGGTACTTTTTGTCCATTAATTCTCTAAGGTCCTACCAACCATTGTAGCATATAGATTCATATCAAATACGTTGCACTTGCTGAATGAAATCAATTTGGTACCATGAGTTTTCTCCATTAACTGTAAATCCAGAATCAAAGCAAAGTCTGCTGAAAAGTATGTATGTCGCCAAATAAACCTCATCTCTCCCTTTAAAAAAAAAGAACATAATTGCTTTGAAACTGCTTAAATAACTTTTTTTTTTAAATTATACTTTTTTGGAAAATATTTTTTCCCCAATCTTTTCCAAGATTACTTTCCATTTGTACTGATTCATGCTTAGAGGATCCACTTTCTTAACAAACTGAAACAAGAGCCTACATTTACTTCACATATACTAATTAGCAATTCAATACTTGAAGTTCTCCACAGTCACCACCTTTCCAGATTGTAAACCTTTAACTTTCTCTAATCCTCCCTCATCACACGATGGCATTGACCATTTTGCATAAGGTTTTCCACCAAAACTCTAGAAGACAGACTTATGATGCAAGAATCATATTGTTCATTTAGAGAACTGCACAGTTGATCTCACATCTAGTCAGTTTGCAAGTCCAGGAATAGCCATATTTCCCACCCACATTATATTTGAGTTATTAATACCTACTAAAGAAAATAGAGCTGCCTGAACTTAAACAAAATGCTCAAACTATATGAAAAGATTGTCTTGGCATCCATAAAGAGGAAAAGCAGATAATACAATTGCAGTGATAGTAGGAACTGCAGATGCTGGAGACTCCGAGACAACAAGGTGCAGAGCTGGATGAACACAGCTGAATCAGATGAAGGGTCTAGGCCCTAAACGTCAGCCTTTTTGCTCCTAATACAATTGCAGTGTTAGTTTTACACCGAGATATTAACTCGTCTTTTTCTCCCCATAGGACTTGAATTAATTTTTAGCTTCAACTTTAGGTTGTTGTTTGGAATTCATTAACAGAAGTGCAAAGTACATTGTCGTAATGCATACAGACAACATTTTATATAATACAACAGTCTAGTTTCCTTTTTATGTTGAATTTCAGATTGAAACTTTAGAAGATTATACACAAAGTATTTTCACAAGAACTTGTTCAACTAATTTAAAGCATTTCTACCTTGTGATATCTTCAGTTAATTGCGAAGGATCAGGAGGATAGAATTTTACATTAAAGGAAAACTGCCAAGGACAATCTGCAATTAAAAACAAATTGTATTAAGCCTTGTAGCAAATCAAAGCCATAAAAATCATGACAGCATAGGTCTATTGATAACATGCAGGTTTTCTGTACAGCAATCCAGTCAGTCCCATTCTGTTTTTGTAGCCCTGCAGGCTTACTTCCAGGTTGACACCAAATTTCTTTTTGAAATCATGGATATACAGGGATTGGATAGGCGGTGGTGCTCTGGGTGGGATGGTCTTTGGAAGGTTGGTGTGGACATGGGCTGAATGGCCTGCTTCCATATTGTAGGGATTCTATGGTTCTGTGATCTCTAGTACACCAGTCTCATAGGGAGCAAGTCTATGACATTAATATCCTCAGTACAACAACTTCCTTCCTCACATCCCTCCACATCTCTTGTTCAAAACTTAAGTGTGTCCTGCAGTACTTGTACTAAGGTGAACAGCTTTCTTTCTTCCCTTAGCTAAACTTGTCATAACCTTGTATAACAATCAAATCTCCCCATCAACATTATTTGCTCCAAGAACCACCACCATGGGCCACTAACTTAATGTTGCAGCTAAAATCCATAATCCCTGGAATTTTTCTGGTTAATCTGTTCTATGTCCTTGATAGGACCCTCATGGCTGATCTGATAATGTTTAACTCCATCTTCCAGTCTTTTCCGCGTAACCTTTGTTCCCATACTGATTAAAAATCTGTCTGTCGATCTCACCCTTGAATATACGTATGTCCCAGCCTCAAAATCCCTCCATGGTAAATAATTCCACAGATTCACAACCCTCAGAGAAGACATTCCTCCTCATTTCTGTCTCAAATCCGCAACTCCTTATTCTGACATTACGCCCTCTAGTCTTAGACTTTCCTGCAGGGGGAAACAACCTTTCTGCACCTACCCTGTCAAGTCCCTAAAGAATCCCATTTGTTTCAACAAGAATGCCTCTCATTTTTCTTTATTTCAACAAGTACAAGTACAAGTCCAAACTACTCAACCACTCCTCATTAGACAGTCCTTCCATACCTGATATCAACCTAGTAAACTTTATCCTGGCATAATGTGCAGTCCAGAGATCTTTCCTTAGATAAGTGACCCAAGACAGTTCATAATATTCCAGCTTTGGTCTAAACTTCCTTGCAAAGTTTTAATAAAATCCTCCCTAATTTTATACTCCATTCTCTTTGAAATAAAGGCCAACATTTGTCTTCTCTATTATCCGCTGTACTTGAATGGTGGTTTTTTTTGCGATTCATCAATGTGGACTCTCAAAATCCTCTGTATTGTAGCTTTCTGTAGTGTTTCTTCATTTAAATAATATTTAGCTCCTCTAGTCTTCCTGTCAAAGTGCAGAACCTCAAGTTTCCCCATTTTGTATTTTATCTGCCAAGACTTTTCCATTCACTTCATCTGTCTATATTTCTCTGCAGACTCTGTCATCCTCACCGCTTGGTTGCAAGGTATTGTGTCTTCTGTAAATGAGGCTATCGTACATTATTTTTTCTCATTTAAGTCATTACATTTATTTAAATACTATGCCCCCAGCACTGATCATGCGGCACACCAGTATTTACAGGTTGCCATCCTGAAAATGCCCCCCTCACCCCCACTCTCTCTCTTCTATTAGTTAGCCAAACCTCTCTCCACGTTAATATACAGCGTCCAAAACCACGGACTCTTATCTTTTTAAGTTGTCTAATGTGTGGTACTTTATCAAACAGACCTTTCCTAATTTCTTAATAATATTAATCAATTATGGCCTAACTAGTGCTTTCTAAGGGGTCAGCATGCATAACACCCATTCTTGTGTACTCAATGTCTTTATTTATGAAGTCCAAGATCCCAAATATCTAGCTTATGACTCTTTCAGTACATCGTATCACTTTTAAAGATATAGCACATGAACTTCTATGCCCCCGCCAACAATTCAGAACTGTGGCATGTACTGTATAGTGGCTCTCCTTACCTCTTCCACCAAAATTCATTACTTCACATTTATCTCTTAAATCCCATCTGCAAGTTGTCTGTCCATTCTGCAAGCCTCTGTAGAGGTGCATTTGAATGACATCATCCTCGCCATTTGCCACACTTCCAATCTTTCTATAATTAGCAAATTTTCAAAATTTATGTCGAATTTCAACATTGAAGTTGAACATGAATACATATATCTTTAAAAATTAGGAACCCCAGTACAGCAGGAGAGAACGCCATACTCTCCCATTCACCAGTCTGTAAAACAACCACATTTAACCGCAACTTGTCATTTTCTGTCTAATCTTCCAAAAGAATTTTATTTTTAAAACCATAGAATCATCTAAATGTTCAGAACACAAATAGAGGCCATTCAGTTTGTCATGTCCATACCAGCTCTCTGGATGTGCAACTGAACTGATCCCACTATCCTGCCTTTTCCAAGTAGCAGAGCTTGCACTGATCCCTTATTCCATGAGCTTCAATTTGTTTAACTAGCCTTTCCCCTCAAATAGGTTATCTGTTGATTCATAAAAAAAAAAAATTCAATTGGATTAGTCAGGCAATACCCATGCTGGCTCTCCTTAACAAGCTCAAATCTCTCCAATTGCCTGTTGATCTTTTCCTCTAATTATAGCTTCTAAAAGTATTCATTAGGATTATACACACAGCATAAAGATCAATTGTTTTATATATATACCAAAATTAAACTTCAATTGCCCTAAATATACTAATGTTTAACCAATAGTGCACTTACTTCGAATTTGCTTCTTTATGTCTTTTGCTGGGTCCAGCCAATTCTAAAAAAAAGGTAGAGTTGTGTATTAGAACTAAGTAAATGGACAAATAATCTCTTGGTCATACAAAGTGTGAGCATTTATGAAAAGAGAGACATGCTGTAAAAGCTTTACTCAGCAGGTCAGTCACAAGAACACAGAATTTCAAAGGGAAGAGCAACTTATGCTACATGAGGAATGTGGAAAAGAAGTGATACAGATGTCATAATTATCAGATCTAGAAAAGTAAAATTTCCCAGATACATACAGCCCCATATTCAATCTTTGCAAGCTTGGCACTCTCATCATTTTTTGCAATGTTTGCTGTGTTAACATATTCCACTTGTTAAATTCTAGCAGCTTATCAATGTTTGACACGCTTAAACCACTGAATACTCTTAAACTGTGTGATGCATTTTATGCATAGCGTTTTTCATCACTTTGAAATGGTTCTAACAGGACTATCTTCAGCAGCTCCTCGTTAGCCAATATTATTTCACTAACTTATAGTATTTTACACAGACCTGAGCCAGGACTGAACAACAATCAATTATTACACTCTAGTTCATTTATCAATGTTCAAATATCACACATCAATTACATTTTATTGAAATATCAGTCACCGTTCTCCCACCCAATAATTTTAAATGCAAGGGACTTGAAATCCTGCTATGGATTGGAAAAATTGAGGAGGTTAAAATGTGTTAATTGCATTCCAGTTCCCAATTCCATTAAAGCTAAAATGCATAATTACAAAATGTTAAAGCATCCATAAACTACTGCAATTAGCATGTGCAATAGAACACACTAGTTTATATTTTTCACTCTGTAGTCAATCTCTTGATGTATTTGAGAATGGCCACAGGGTATAGCTTTATTTGTATAGCTGAAAATGGGCATATCAACAAAATAAAAATGTTGAATCCATTCCTTCACTCCAAGTAACCAGATTGAAAATTACATTGTAAACCTAAACCAAATTGTTTCATAGTTTAACTGGTACATACTTATTAATCTTAAAGTAAAGTCAATATTTTTTGATGTGTGAAATCTCAAAAGGTACTTCTGCAGTAAATAAAATGAACATAATTCTTGGAATCTTTCTGAACCATTGCAATGCTAGTGCTTACAATCTTCTGAAAGACTAAGAAATCCAAAGGATCGGAGGGATCTTGGAGTAGATGTCAATAGATCATTGAAGGCAGCAGGGCAGGTAGACAAATTGGTTAAGGCAGCACATGGGATATTTGCCTTTGTTGGTCAGGGTATTGAATGCAAGAACAGGGAGGTTATGATAGAACTGTACGAAATGTTTGTTAGGCGACAGGTGGAGTACTGTGTACAATTCTGGCTGTTACAGTATGAAGAGAGGGATTGCAGATGACACCTCTGCTGGAGTGTATCATCTATGAAGAGAAAACAGATAGCCTGAGGTTTTTTTGCCTTAGAGCAATGAACACTGCTTGGGGGGGAGGTGGGCACTGATTGAGGTATACAAAGTTTGGAGGGGCATAAACACAAGGATAAGCTTTCCCCTTTGGTCAAGGAGTCAGTAACCGGGGACACAGCCTTAAGGTAAGGAGCAGGAGGTTCTCTCCTCTACTCAGAGGGTTGTGCTATTTGGAACTCACTGCCTGAAAGAGTGTCGAAATGGCAGAGGCAGGAACCTTGAAGGCATTTAAGAATCATTTAAATGACCATTGAAACACCATAGCATACAAGGCTTTAGGCCAAGTGCTGGAAATAGGATTCAAGTGAAGAGGTGCTTGATAAATCGGTGCAAACATAATAAACCTCTTTCTGTGCTGTAAAACTCTATGTCCTTTTATAACTCTGGCTCAACTTGGAGCATGGAATTAGTGGATGGAACCTGATCTGAACACATAACTTTCACGGAAGTAGTTTTGTGCATAATTCAATTAGGTTTAAAATTTCTCAATTTTTGTGCTGATCTGGCTCATTTTAACTGAAGTGTGCTAATATTAGTAAACATATGGAAACTCTACTCCAAGGACTCAGTTCTGGGAAAACATTGAGCAACACCATCTCATTGGCTACGTGAAAACACACAAAATGTCTTGCACCAAATATAATTAATACAATAATTCTAAAGCTACTGCATAATGGGCTATTCAAGTATACCTTTTTACAGCAGAACTAAAAAAGGTTCACTTATAATCAGTGACAGAAATGCCTGCATAAAACAATTTACAAACAACTGCTCTATTCATTTTAATTAGTGTCATTCAATTACATGCATCTTTTGCTCCACTGAACACACACCAAACAAAAGTGAAAATTCACACCATTAATATGTTGGTTATTAACTTATGCTGTACAGGAGTTCAGAAACATTTTCAACATAGATCTGTTAACAGATTTGGAGTGCTTAACTTTCATCACAGAAAACACTTCATTGCTTACTTAATCCCAAACCTGACAAACTCATATCAAGATAATTAGCAGTGACAATGGCCAAAGCAGAATAATTCATAACACTGCTATCTCTTGGGATCAACTATGATCGCCCCACTGCTGCACCGTTAGAGAGACCAGCCTTATGAATACAAGCAAAGCGTTGTTGGTATGCAGCTCACAAATTATCCAGCTGCAGCCGAGAACAGCTGGCAGATAAATGTTGGCTGTGATAACTGAGCAACAGTAAGAACAAATCATTAAGCATTCAGCAAAGCACAGAGTGGAGGTCAAAGACTTGTAACATTTGAACGTGGAAGTATCAACAAGCGCAGCAGGGGAGGAAGCAGAAAAAAAATACAGATTCAATTTGTGCCAAGAGCAATAACAAAAGTGTCCATAGATTAGGAATTAGTGCAAGCAAGACAAATGTTTTGGAATTATACAGCAAAATTCTTGCAACGCCTACAATATAGGAAAGCAAATATAGGACACCATAAAGAGATAGCCAGCATGCATTTTCTTTCTGATTTTGAAATAGGTTGCAGTAAAATTTCAGTCAGTTGCCAACTTTGAAACTGTTTGAAATTACTTACACCTTCTGCACCGCACTTTGATATTTCTATCTCTCAACAACATCACAATTAATAGAAAATGCAGTACGATATTTTCAGATTTTTGTCATATCGTTCTTGTTTAGTTTTGGATGATTATCTGTCTATCTACAAAGTTTGAGAGCTACAACAAATATTACTACAATATTTACCAAACACAATTCAGAAGAAACTGGTTTACTGAGAGTGAAAAGAATGTGTGATTCACAAACATCATTATTTATATTTGCATAATATTGTTAATGCAGAAACAATCCCAAAGTGCAAAGTTTGACACCGGGCCACATAAAGCAAGATTAGGACAAATGGTCAAAGCATAATTAAAGTATATTTTAGATAGGATCCTAAAGGAGAAGACAGAAGTAGAGAAGCAGCAACAAAAAGAGTGAAAATTCTAAAGTTTAAGACATCAGCAGGTTATGGCTTGATCTATGCAATATTGCAAAGACACAAGGAACCAGAGTTGGAGCAGGACAGATGTAAGGATTGTAGGACTGATTTGAAGGAGCAAGGTCAAAGACAGATTTGAAAACATGTTTGAGAATTTTAAGATTACATAATTGATCAACCATGAGCCTATTGTCAGCAACTGCAGAGATAACTACAAAAAAAATGAATACAAATTGGGAGATAGTGAAATTTGGGGTGGGCTTAAACTGAGGGTTTCAAAAGCAGAGCTAAGGAAGAAGTGGAGTTCGATAATATTTCAGGTGATTAATTGAAGTGAATAGCACAGACCGGGGTTCACCACTGAAGACTTTTGGGATCCACCAAAAACAATCAACTTAAAAACTTTTGTTGAAAGCTACTGGTGTGCAATTTCAATGTGCCCATCCACTCCAGGGGTATGTCATAACATGTCTGAACAGGTTTTTGTTATTCATTCCTGGGTTGTGGGCGTCTCTGGCTGGCCAGTATTTATTATCTGTCCCCCTAGCTGCCATTGGGAAGGTGGTAGGGAGCTACCTTCTTGAGCCACTGCAGACCAGATGCTATAGGTAGACACACAAAGCTTTTAGGCAGGGAATTCGAGGATCTTGACTCAGTGAGTGAAGGAATAGTGATATATTTCCAAGTCAGGATTATTAGTGGCCTGCAGAGGGACTTGAAGATAGGGGTGTTCCCATGTATCTGCTATGCTTAGCACTTTCCAATCCCAAAAGGACACGGGCTTTTAGCAAACATCTGTAGTGCATTTTGGAAATATATCAAAACTTTTGTTTCATCCATCATGAAAGAAATTCTGGCATTGTGGTAATAACACTGGACCAATAATCAAAGTGTAAGGCTGGTGTTCTGCAGATTCAGGTTCAGATTCAAAATTCAGCTCAAGAAATGGCAGAATTTAAACTCAATTAATAAATCTGAAATATAAAAAAAAGTCTCAATAATTATGACCATTATTATCAACTGTTATTAAAATGTATTGATTCTCTAATGGCTATGGCACCAACCAGAAAGCAGGCTATAGAACACCTGGTTTCAACCAACGAGATAGGATTGATCTCGGTGTGAAAGTGCCCTAGGTAGCAGAGACCATAATATGATTAAGTTGAATGTAAAATTCAAAGGAGAAAACTGGGGGTCTATGAATACTATTTTGAAGTTAACAAAAAGCAACTATGAGACACGAAAGCAGAGCTAGTGAAGGTGAACTGGTAATTTCATTTAAGGGACATACCAATAGAAATGCAGTGGCAAACATTTAAGGGCATATTCCAGAAAGCACACAATAGATAACATTTCAACAATGAAGAAACATTTTAAATGGACAGACTCAACACCAGTGGTTAACTACAAACGACAAAGATAATATCAAACTTAAAGAAAAGACATATAGTTGCGCAAAGTTGGGTGGCAGAACAGAAGGTTGAACAAAATATAACAAAAAATAAAATAATTACAAAAAAAATGAAGAGGGAGAAATTATATTATTAGACTGTGAGTTAGCAAAAAGTTTAAAAACAGGTAGTAAAAAATTTTTTAAGTATCCAA